CCCCCCCCCCACCCAAGGAGCTGAGGCACAGCACGCGTCCAGCGGGGACGCACCTGGGAGTGTGCAGTGCTCTCCGGAAGAGAGGGGTCCCTCCAAGCCGTGCTCTCCACAAGCGTGCCTCTCAGGGCGCTGCTCTGGGTCGCCTGTGGCCCAGGCCCCCGGGTGTGCGGGGGCTCCCAGGGTGGAGGGACAAAGGGCCACGAGAGCCGAGGAGTCGAGGCCACAGGACAAGCCTCTGTTGCTGGGCCACGCCACGTGAGCTCCCACCCCAGCCAATAGCCCAGCCTGGCCCCGGGGCCCCCCGGATGGAAGCAGCTGCCTAGGGGGCTCTGGAAGGAGCTAGAAGGCAGTCAAGTCAGCTCTGAAGTGCTCCAGCGCACGCCGCTGGCGGGAGAAATTGTAGAAGAGGAGGGGTGGCGTGACGGGCGGCCAGGAGCCCGGGCCCCGCAGGGACGACCCTCAGCGGCCCCAGGCGAGCGGCCGCCCACCCTGCAGCGCCTGCTGCTGCCCCGGCAGCTACGGACACAGGCACAGAAAGGCCAGCCTCTCACAAGTGGCACCATGGCGCCCGTGGCCACCACCGGCCACCGCAAACATCACCCCTGCAACGAGGCGCACGCCAGGGCCGGCAGCAAGCTCTTTGAAGGCCACGGAGACCTTGGCTTTGCGGACCATTTGGTCTGTCATGAGAACTCTGCGTGTACTGTCATGAGTGGCCTCACAGAGGCCTGGGCCAGCGGGCTGCTGCAGACAGAGGTCGTGGTGACCTCGCACAGCACCCGGCCGGGGGCGGAGAGCAGGGGGACGCGTCTCATGAGCCACTGGCACACAGCTGCCAAGGGACCACATGACCTCCAGCTGAGCCACGGTGGGAACACGCCCCTGGGGATGCAGGCCTCGCCCCGCCTGGGCCTAGGGACCTGAGCCATCAACTGTAAGCTCCTGCCGGCAGGCAGGCATCGGACGTCTAGCCTGCTGCTCAGGGCGGCCAGAGAATGGTCCTGCCCTCGGCTTTCACCCTCTGCACCCACGGCTTCCAGAAATGTCCCCTGGAAGGAACACGTCCCTGCCTGACCTCTACCCCCTATGCTAGCCCTGCAGGTCCCAGAGCCCAGCTCCAGGCCTAAGCCCCACCTCCCAGACCAGCGGGGAAGCTCGCTGGCAGGGCCAGGGGATGCCGGACCCCACAACCAGGAGGCCTCTGCCCTGCTAACAATCCAGCCAGGCTCACAGCACCAGGTTTCAACTTGTCGCCCACCCTAACACACACCTGGCCTTTCTCCCTCGGCACAGGTGGTGGATGCTGGCCCACGGGACTCACCGGCCACCACAGTGCCACACAGGGAAGGGCTACTCCCCGGTGGCCCACACGCAGGCCCAGGAGGGTGTGGGAAACAGGGCCACAGGAGAGCCGTGACGCGAGATCTGGGGCCCGGGGAGCTGCGCTACTGGAAACGCCTCCTTTGGCACCTGCACCTGGGGGCCCTTTCCTCTGCGCCGGACTGAGATTCACCAAACGCATGGTCTGCCCAGCCACAGCTTCTCAGGGACAGAGTGGCCAACAGAGGCCCATATCACCTGACCTTCACCTCCTGCCACGCCCCACCCCGCCCAACAATACCGTGGCCACGCCAGCCCTCGCTCACCCGTTCTTGCCCACCACAGGCCCTTTGCGCCTGCAGCTCCTGCTGCCTACAGGGCCTGTCCTGGTTGCTTCCTGGCCTCAGACGCTTCCCTGGCGGCCTCACTCGGTCTCCCCGTTACAGCTGGTGTCTCACGGCCTTTCGCGAAGGCTGCCCGGAGCGGCAGGAACTGTTCTCCCACCCACAGCCAGCCTGCGGCTCCCCCTTCTTACGGGCTGCCCGGACCAGACTTCCGGGGAAACGCATGCAGGCCAGCGAGTGGCCACAGCAAGCAGCGCCAGACCGCTACTAACCAGTAAATCGTGTAGGCCTCTGCTTGAGCTGGGTCCTGGATATTTGGTTCATTTAGAAGTTCCTGTATTCCTAACAAGATCTGTGTGAGAGACAAGAAAACACAGGGGTCAGTGGTTTGAAAGGCAAGCTTTTCTGGGACATCGGCCTCGGCCTCAGATAAAGACCACAGGCCTCTGGCCCCACAGGAAGGCTGAGGCCAGCACCCTGCATGCCGTACCTGCTTGATCGTGATGGCCGGCCTCCAGTCCTTGTCCTCCTCGAGGATGGACAGGCACACTGTGCCCGAAGGGTACACGTTCGGGTGAAACAGCGGTGGTTCAAATTTGCCTGGACCACAGGGAAGAAGGAAACGTGTTTCTGGCGGCAGCGGTCGTCTGGCAGGATGATGCAATCTCCCCGCACCAGGGCGACCTGCTGCCACCAGGCATTTGGCGAAGGACGGTGGCCGTGAGGTGGCAGTAGGTGGGGGGCGGGGGCAGGCATGCACCTGTCCCGGACTGGGAGGGGAAGCCATGTGCTCGCCCGGACCCTGCCTCCTGACAGTGGGCGGACGGAGCCGAGTCCTGGGCATCCCCACCCCTCACGTCCCTCCCCAAGTCAGCACAGCAGGTGAGGATGGTCCTGGGGGGACAGCTGAGGGCAGAAACTCGGCGGCCCTTCCAAACAAGTGGCCATTTTCAAAGCACAAAATTCTGCTCCAAAAAGAGAGGCTCTTAGGATCCCACGTTCTTTCTTTTAAACAAAAGTTCCGGGGCGCCTGGGTGGCGCAGTTGGTTAAGCGTCCGACTTCAGCCAGGTCACGATCTCGCGGTCCATGAGTTCGAGCCCCGCGTCAGGCTCTGGGCTGATGGCTCAGAGCCTGGAGCCTGTTTCCGATTCTGTGTCTCCCTCTCTCTCTGCCCCTCCCCTGTTCATGCTCTGTCTCTCTCTGTCCCAAAAATAAATAAATGTTGAAAAAAAAAAAAAACAAAAAAAAACAAAAGTTCCTTCTTTCTAAAAAATGAACACACGTAGGAAATCCTACAACAGAGAAGAGCAGGAAAACTGCCTCAAGCTCCCCGGGGACCGTTCACCACAACTGACAGGCTAGGGCGTTCCTCTCTGCTTATCTGGCCACCGTCCCCTCTTCTCTTCACTTAAAAACGTTAATTACGCCCCGAAAAGTACGATGGGTCTCACGCAGCTTGACGGAACTCCCGAACCACCACCACACCGGGCACCAGCACCCGGAGTCTCCCAGAGACTCCCCCCGGGCCACCAGGGTCCAGCCTGCGCCCTCCCGGCCCTGCGCTCGCGGGTCACGCGCGCACATGTCTACGTGACGCCGCCAGGCCATCCGGCCCCGAGGAGGTGCTGCCCACCGCCAGCTCCCACTGCTTCACGATCCCAGACCCCCGGCAGCCTCACGGAGGTCAGCCGTCCCTGGGGACTCCGGACGGCGAGCACCTTCACTCACTGTGACGCACCGGCCGCTTCTTGGAGAAACTCCCGGCCTCGTCTCCCGCCCGATAATCCCGTCTGTCTCCTGACCTGTGGGCATGCTGCACACCTTCTGGCTCGAGCCCCCGCAGGAAGGGCCCTTGGGAACCTGCTCCCGCCCCGAGCACGCCCTTCTGCTCTCTGAATTCAGCTTCTTCCTCAGCACAAGTGCCTGATTTTAATTTCATCTGGGCGGTCCATCTCTTTTCTCACCTAGGAAAGCACAGCCGTGGTGGGCACGGCCTCGCCCAAGCCCCTGTCCCCGACTTCTGCTCACCGCTGGCTTCCTCCAGTCAGAGAAGCCCCTGCCGAGACCCCATCCGCCGCAGGGCCGGCCGCTGACTTCCTGTGCGGCTCTGCTCTTCCGCATCACGTTGGGAGACGCGCAGTCTCAGGTACTCGCAGGCCCTTCCCTCTGGCTGCTGTAGACTGTCCCCCAATGTCTACCCGTTCTTCTTGTTTGGATTTTTTTTTAACGTTTGAGAGAGTGAGGGCTGCCTGGGTGGCTCAGGTGGGTAAATGTCTGACTTCGGCTCAGGTCACGATCTCATGGTTCGTGGGTTCGAGCCCCGCGTCGGGCTCTGTGCCGACAGCTCAGGCCTGAGCTCTCCTGTTTTGGATTCAGAAAATGCCCCTCTCTGCCCTCCCTGCTCGTTGCAGTACTCCATCTCTCTGTCAAAAATAAACGTCAAAGTTTGACAGAGTGAGCGAGCAGAGGCAGGAGCAGAGAGAGGAGAAGCAGACTCCGTGCTGTCGATGCAATCCCAGCAGAAATCAAGAGTCGGAGCTTAACTGACTGGTCCCGGGCTTCACCCATCTTTGGATCGGGACATGGCTGCTCGGCTTGGCCACTACAGATGGGGCTGACGTGACCAAGCTGGTCCCCACCACAGAAGGCAGGCGTCGTCTTGGCGTCTGCCTGTCTGCTTGGTGGAATGCTCACTGGAGCAGAGCAGCCAACTTCCTGGAGAGACCACCATCTCAACAGGCCCTGGGACAGCTCTCCAGGGGAAGCGGTGCAAACCCACACCTGCGGTGCGGTCTGAGGGCCCCGCTGCTCCGCCCCTCCGCGGGAGATGACGTCGGCACCTCTTCCCACGCTGCGGGCACGAGAGGGGACAGTCTCCCGTGTGGCCCGACAGCCGCGTTTTATGCGTCGACGCCCTTTGGCGTGCCGTGCTGGCTTCAGGGTCAGTGCTGGCGGGTGGGGGGGAGGGCGTGTGCTCCCATCTCTCCCTCACTGGCCTCCTGGTGAACACGCTGCAGTCAGTGTGGCGTAGCCGTGAGTCTCGTTAGCGATGTATGTTCTGCCTACGGGGCCAAAGCACTATCTGTGCCTCGCTGCTGAAATCTACCAATCTTCTTCTAGAAGCCGCACCGTTCCTTCTTTCCACTGGATGTCGAGATTCATCTGGAAGGCTACCTGGGGGGGCGGGAGGGGGGATTCCTGTCTCCTCCGCAGGGATACTCTGTGGGCCCGGTCCATTCGCCGGACTAGCCTTGCGCCCATGTCATAAACACGTGGCACGTGTGGCCTCTGCCCGGCAGGCCTGCGTCCCAGTCACCGTGTCCCCGTAGCAGGTCTGTCCGGTTTACATCTTGCCCATCCTGCTGACGGGTGTGGGTGCCCTTGGACCGACGTGCCTCAGCCCCGGTCTCCCCGACCACCCCCGGCACTCTAAGGGCCGCGGCTACTCTCCGTGCTCCTGACTTCTAGAATCTGTGTGACGATTTCCACAAAAACTTCCACACTTGGATTTGACACTATTGTGAACAGTCGGGGTCAAACACTTCCGTTTGTTGCAATTATGTTGAAAATAGGTTTTTGCAGGTTAATCCTTTATTGCACAACCTTACCAAAAAGATCTAAAAAGAAAGGCGAGACCATCTGCAGCCCGTCTTCCCTTCCCGCTCTTCGGCTGGGATTTTTATTTTTGCCTTGTCAAGTCCGCTTGGAATTCAGGTATCAAGCTGAACACAAGTGACGAAAGCAGCCGTGACCGGTCTCGTTTCTTAATCAGAGCTACTATTCAACGCAATACCTCCACGCGGCAGAAACAATTCAAATAGCAAAGAACCAGCCAAATGAAAAGTCTCCATCCCAGGAGACTTTTCATCCTGCTAATCATCCATGCTTAAAACTCTTCTGCTAGACGCCGTTATGATGGAAAACGTTCTTCTACCTTTTTGAGTTACTAACCCAAGCGTAGATGTTTCCGTATGGCCGTTCCCAGTGGCCACGTGCCGTGCGGGACACTTCTCCACACGAGGCACGCCTTCACTCATTTAATTAACCAACCACGGACCGGTTTTGGTGGCTTCCAGCTGCAAGCGGGGAGGAATTTGGTGCTCCTCCCGTCCTGAGTCTCGCGAAAGTGCACTTTGATGACATCACCGTAGCACGACGTTAAAGACAGCCTCGGCCTTTTCTTCCCACGGCCTTCTCCGGAGACTTATCCATCCAGGCGGCTCGCAGCCAACACGTTGGATGTGGAGTGTTAACAAACGGGCGCGGTGACAACGGGTCAGGGAAGGAAACCCTCCGAGAGGTGGGGTTCCGGACCGTGGTCCTTGTGACGCCCATCCCTAGCGAGGGCAGACAGTGGTGGCACCTTATCCCCGACAGGGACTCAGGGCCAGAAGCCTCCCGGTGGATCACAGCCGGCACCCGACTACGCCTGCCACGTTCACCTGGCTCCAGTCCACGGCCTCCAGGGGTCAGAGCCCCCGGGGCCGCCGCACGGCTAACGTGGGGAAGCAGACGGAGTCGTGAGGGCTTCCTCTACTTACATTTTGGGGGTGAGGATGGGTAGTCGTCCTTGAAAAGCATCCGCAGTTTAAACAAGCCTCCTTCCCACGGGGTCTGCGGGGAAACGAACGTGCAGTCAGGCGTGCCGCCGGCCTCCGCCGCGGGCTGAGCCCAGGAGGAACGGGCCTCTGCCGCACGCCCCCAGCACCGCCCCACAAACCGACCGGCTGTCCCCACGACGGGACCGTGGGGCCTGCCACGGGCCCTGAGGGGGCCGGAAAGAGCCATCCCCGGAGAGGAGCGTGGCGGGAGCTAGGCTTCTGGGAAGACAGGCGGGGGCCGGCAGGCCACCCCCTGTGACCCAGGATCGGGGGTCAGGATCTCCACCTGAGCGGCCCCTGTCGCCAGCTCCACCAGCACAGCCCTCCCCAGCCTCCTCCGGGAGGGACAAGGCCACGGCGCACCTGCCTCAGCCTGAGACGATGGGCCGAGAATGGGCTTAGCAAAGGCAGAGGTGCGGGCCCGGCCCTCCACGGAGCCGTGGCAAACGGAGAAAGCAAACCACATCGTCCGAGGACAAAGCCGAGTCCTAATCCTGCCAGCTTAGCATCGGGCGAGGAGGCTGTCAGGAAGCACCAGGCTGAGCTCACGCAAACGCCACGCCACGGGTGGAGGGACGTGGCGGCGATAAGGCGATAAGGCCGGGGCGTAACCAGGTCACCTCAGGGGTCTCCTTTTGGCTTTGGGGTCACCCAGAAAGAGCTGGATGCGGGGCTGCTGGAGACCTTGACTCCCAAATGCTTCAAATACGCTGGCCCTGACTGGACCCCCCGCTACCTGCCCCAGGCTCAAAGACCGCCAGGCCGAGCGTCACTATATCCTGGCTACTTCAGCTGCAGCGGGTCTGAAGGACAAACGGGAAGGCCCTTCCTTCCGTCTGGGCCCTTCTCCAGCGCGTCCCAAGGCTCCTCTTCCCTGAACACGCAGCAGGGTCTGCCCCCGGGCTCGGTGGGGGTGCCACACCCAGCCCCTCCTGCGACACAGCTCCTTCTTTCTGAATTAAAGCTGACTGGTGGGGGAGGGGGGGAATCACCTGTCACCCCAACCCTGTCCCCTCCCCCGGAGAAGCAAGTCAGCAGAGTGGCGCCCCTTACCCCTTTCTTCCCGGGAATGGCGCACTCCCAGTTCATGAGGTTCATCGTGCCATCGGGGTTTTTTGTTGGGACAGCCACAAAGCCCTGAGAGAAAACAACCACACAGGCACATCAACGCCCCGGCATCTCATTCCTCCTGCTCGCACAACAGTCCTGAGACTCCCAAGGGCACCCTGCACAGAGTGTGTAACAGAGCAGGCGGGATGGGGTTCCCGGGTTCCACCGGGGGAAACCGCCCCCCCCTCCCGCTACGCACAGAAATAAAGCTTTCCTTACAAACGGGTGGTCCTTTCTCCAGGCTTTCCTCTCCTGGGCCAGTCTGCTGAGGGCGATCCCCGACATGTTCAAAGTCCCTGCAAGAGACCGGGCAGAGCACGCGGTTAGGACAGGCAGAGTGCAGAAGCCGTCTGACCCTCCCCTCGCTCACCCAGCTTGACACAGACCGGGCTCCCAGCAAACCGCCCAGCCTGGAGTCTGCCCCAGGCATCACGTCCCCAAGGGGCGACCCCGGCCTCCTCCCGCAGGCGGCTCTCCAGGAAAGAGGGAGCCAGGATGCTCCGGAGACCCAGAACACCTCCACGTGGGGCCCCTTCCCTGTGAACATCCCACCCCCAGGGGCCACGGCACAGGCCTAGGTATGTGCGGTGCAGGAACGGTTCACCAGAATTCCCAGAAGACGCCTGCACACCTGTCCTGCCCTCTTGTCACACTGCAGAGGGCTGCAGCGACAGGGTTCCCACCGTCAGTCTCCACAGGAAAGGCAAGGACACGGTGGGGATGTCCAGAGCACTGCCTGAGGACCGGGGTGGGGGGCCAGGGCAGTGGCAGACCACTCCCCTCTGCCAATGCAGAGATTGGGGGGGGGGCATCAGGCGCCCAGTGTAGAATCAGGGGCTCACAATTTAGATTCAGGTCTGGCCAAGAGAGTAACTCTTATTCTTGAAACCAACCGAGTAGAAAGGTGCCCCAGGTCAGACAGCAAGCCCACCGCGTTGTGCACAAGTCCCTAGACTGCAACTGGCCCACAGTACCCGACCCTCCTCCATCCCCTCTGCTTTCTCACCCCACCGCACCTCCCCATCCACTGGCACTCCACGAACATCAGAGAGATCAGGGCTCTTCTCCCATTTACTCCGGGAAAGTCAGAGGGGGTGGGGGGTGGGGTGGCCAGCAGGACCCAGGAACCCCTGGGGAGAAGACACCCATGCAGGCCCAGAGGTAGGCAGTCTGCCCGCTGGGCCCGCCAGTCCCAGGAGCGCTGCAGGAGTGGGTTACTCAGAGTCCCGCTTCTGGGTGTCAGGTCCCCCAGCACCTCCAGACCACAGACCCCCAAGGCCTGGTGCCTTCAGGGTCCCCACTAGTGGCCCAGAGCTCCCCCTACCCCCGCCATCCGCTTGGCTCACGCTCCCTGCGGGGAGAGCTGCCTCTCAGGGTCTCCAGGGTGCTGCTCACCCCGCACAGCCTAAGAGGCTGGAGCCCCAACTTCCCTGTACCCTCAGAGGTCACTAACCTTGCTAGAGAATTTGGCCTTAAGTCTGTCTTCAAAGTCCACGGAAACATAAACAAGGCTTTAACGAGACAAAAACGGAGTCCACTAGCCTGTCCCGACCCTCAGCCCCTCAGCCTTCCAAGAAGAGCGTCTCCTCTCTGCTCTTGTGGGTGAAAGGACCACACCTCACGTTCCTGAGGACAACAGGGGCGCCCTCCACCGGGTTCAGAACCACCTTCCAGCCACGACAATGCATGACAACGCGTGAAACCAGCCCCGCCTGCCGGCTCAGGCTCACCCACCGCCCCCGGGGCTCAACACAGACTCAGGATGACCAGAAGTGAAGATCCAGAAGGTAACGTGCCTGTTAAGCATGGAGCCTCAACTCGAACCCGGCTCACGTCCCCCTCTGCCTTCCGGGGGACGGCCTCCTCTCGGCTGCTGCCACCACTCACCCATCGGCTACGCCTGTGCAAACCCCCCCGCCCGGCTCAGGCTGACCCTCACCCGCCTCAGCAACCCAATCCAAATCACACCCTTCACCCCCACCACCCCGCCGGAGCGCGGGAGCGGTTAGGCCACCAGCTCAGCAGAGGCAGGCCCGGGTGGTGGTGTCACCTGGGTGCGTGTCAGAAACGAACGTCCCCAGGCCCCGTGGCCATGAGTCGGGAACTCTGGGTGGGGCCCAGCACTACAGGTTCGGGAGGCTCTTGGACAACTGTGTTCCCAGGAAAGGGGCAGGAGGGGCCTGGGCATCAGCACCGCAGCCTCCGGGGTCATCCATGGGCCCGGGTCTCAGGAAGCCGGCTGAGTTGTGACAGACACACCACCAGACCAATCAGATGGGGTCCGGTACTAAGAAAGTTTATTTCTGTTATTGTAAGAAAAAGCAAAAGTCAAAAAGGAAAGTCCTCCACTCAGGAAACTGTCAGGATGACGTAACCAACGGGCTGAACCCCGGCCACCACCTCACGCTGTGGCACTGACCCCAGAACACCTTGTAAATGGGCTCCAACCTTCCCTGACTGCAAAATTAAGTCCAAAATAGACAGCACCATGCTGGGACCCCAACCACAACTCCTCTCTGTCACCGCTCCGTCCCAGGGCTCCGGCCTGCCCTCTTCCTTCCCCGTCCCTGTGCAGACCTGACTGCCAGGAGCACGATGCTATGGGGGTTTGGGACCTTGAAGGGCAACACCTGGGGGACCTCCTTCACTGGACAGCACACCTGTCTGGAATATTTGTTTGGGACAGAGGCAGAGGCCCAGGGAAAACGACAAGGCGGGGGCAATGATCCCGAAGACAAGGACCTGGGCTTGCGTGAGGTGGACAGAGTACCCTCAGGGAGCCAGGGCACAGGGGAGCACAGCCCAGTCTGTCTTTAAGGTGCTCTCTGGCCAGAGGCTGGCAGGGACGCTGACACCTGAAAATCTTCACTTCCCCAAGTTTCTCAAACCCTTCACCTCAACTGGCTCTTCTGCACGGAACCCGACCCAGCACCAAGCTGGGTCAGTGGAAATGCCCTTCCCTGCAGAAGCCCTGAGGGCACGGGACACTCTGGACTCTCAATCAAGTGCCCGCGGCCCCATGCGCCCCACCGTCCTCGGAGTGATCACTGTGGCAGCACACACCCCCGCCCCCTGGGCAGACAGCACAAGTAGGCAGGACGCTTCTGCAGGGTTAACCCACCCAGAGCTTCGGTGACCGAAGGCATGCGAGGTCCCCAGTGAGTCTGAGCTCAGCCAGGCAACAAAACAGGTCTGTGAAACCACAGGCCAGCGCTCCTCACAGCGAGGAGCCACGGACACCGACAATCCGGGCACTCTGGAGGGGCCGCGACGGGGCCGGGCCAGGGGGGCGACCCTGAGTGCCGTCTGCTGGCTCACCGCGGGTCACAACCCTGCCACGGGCCACCTCTTCTGCCCTGAAGAGCAGCCAGAGTCACCTAGTCCTGGGGCCTGGCTGCATGTGCTTGTCCCGGTTTGTGGAAGGTAATGAGGGCTGGGCCCACCAAAGTCCCTGCAGCCCCCTCCTCGGGGGTGGCCGGTGGACCCGGACTGGGCAGCAAACTCGGTTTGTGCCATCGGGTCGCAGAGCCTCAGGTGCCCACCTGCACTGTCCCAAGCAGAGACCTGGTGCTTCCACTCCCACTGGCCTCCTGACGCCAGGACAAAGCAGCCAGTTTGTTACATTTTTGCCACAGCGCGGATCCATTCATTCAGAGTCCCAGATCCACCCGCCAAGTGAAGAGAGCCATTTCCGCAGCTTTAGGTGTCAGGAGAGCGCCTCAGAGCAGCAGGCAGGAGCCGGGGCAGCACAACCTGGCACTACTAGTCACAGCCTGAGGGACGAGAGGCCAGCCTGCCACCTGCCTCCAGGGCTCCCTCCAGGGCTCCCACTGTGGGCTGCACCGGAATGTGCTCTTCTCAGATCCCGGTCCGCTACCGGAAGGCACAGAGCTGAGCACCTCCATCCTCAACTTTCCCAACAAAATGGGGGAAGGCGCTAGGAGCCCACAGGCTGGCCCAGGAGGAAGCAGATTACGGATGGGAAGCTGTGGACCACCTTTTCCCACCCCCTGGGGGTGGGGTGGGGCAGGAAATTCGGCGCACCTGACACAGGTGCCTGCGGAGGCTGCGCTTCCCTGCTCTCTCCCAACACACCTCCCAGGACCCCAGGCTGTTCCCGAAGCAAGGTCCCTAATGCCAGGACTCCCCGGACAAAGGTCCAACAGCAAGAAGAACTCATCCCTAACCTCCCCCGCTACCAAAGACCAGAGCAAAGCGAGACTAATTCAGGATCCATCTTCCTTTCCGGTGAAGTTGACGCTCTACCCAAAAGCCACCTTTTAAGTGTTTCCTTAAGAGCGAGAAACACTTAGGACTACAGACTCCCAAAACAAACAAAAGGACAACTCCACAAACCGAGGAACTGAGGACATTTTCAAACTACACCAGCCGAACCAAGTGGTACCGACTTCGGGGCAGCTGCAGGCCACGATCAGGAGCCCGGCTAACCATCCCCTTCGTTTCCTCCTACTCGCGTTAACTACCAGTTCCGACCTCCGTTCGATGGCTACAAAGCAACCGCGTACGAAAACTCTCCCTCGAGCGCAGCGCTAACGTCAGGGAGGGATCCCACCAACTGCAAGCGGAGCTCTTCAGAGGCACAAGAAAACTCAAGACTGTTTTGGTTTCTCGACCCCCGCTAAACGAGCCGGCGATGTTGCAATCCCCCACTTTCAACTCTTTCGGCCGTGCACGCTCGCCCCAGCTGCCAGGCGCCACAGGTCTGTGTGCAGACCGTGACCCCGGAAACGAATTTCCCTGGGGCGGAGAAGAGCCCCGGCGGCGGGGCGGCCCAGGCTCGCGTCCCTGTCAACAGCGGCCGCTGCCAGCAGCACCTCGGGGACGCCGCCGAGCACGCGCCAGGGGGCCGTTCTCTCCGCTCCCGAACGGGGCGCGCGGCGGGGGGCCGAGGGGCCGGACCGACGCGACCCCGGGCCCGGGGCCGAGGCCGCACGCCCGTAGCTCCGAGGAGGACCGGTTCCGGGAAGCGGGGCCTGCCCGGGGCGGGGGCGCGGGGCAGGGCCGGGGGTGAAGAGGCGCCCGCTCGGCCCGGGCCCGACGGCGGCGGAGGCCCCGAGCCCGGCCCCCGCCCGCGCCTCCCGCCCGCGCCCCCGCGCTCACCT